AACAGTCCCTCTCCTGAAGGATTTGACATTCTAATAGGAAAGACAATAGGTACAAGTGTGGGTATGTTAACCTTAAATAAAGCAATAGAAGTCAATGGCGTTTATTGGGTGAGAGGGTGATGTGATGTGATGAGCCTCATGCTTGAGGAAAATCACTGTGGTGATATATAAAGGCTGGAAGGGAAAGGGGAAGGGGCTGAGCACTTATTTCATGCCTGCTGCATGCCAGGCACTGTGCTGAGTGCTTTATAAATACATGCTCATCTGACAGGAGAGAGAAGAGGCTTGAAGCAGGAGCCAGCTCACAGGTAGTCACGGGAGTCCAAGAGAAAGGCGAGGGCAGCCTGAGCTGTAGTGTTAGAGGAGAGGAAGGTGCCTGTAAGAGGCCTGTTGTGAAGATCAAAAGCAGATTTGGCGACTGATTGGGTAAATGACGTGAGGGAAAGTGAGGAACTGAAGCTATCCTGGTGGTTATAAACAAGGGACACTGGCCCAGTCTGGTAGTGCTCCAGTGCATCATTATAGGAAAGTTCAGAAGACAGGAGTGGTGGCGGTGGGAGTGGGAGAACGGGAATGAATTTGAGATGCCGATGGCAATCAGGCTCAAAATTTCTAATAGGCAGTTGGTGATGCGGGAGAGGCCAAGGAGAGAGACGTTAGGGCTAGATACACAGATGTGGAAGTCATAGAATAGAGATGATCATTGAACTCATGGGAGATGATGAAATCACAAAGGGAGAGAGTAGACAGCAGGGGTTCTTAAGCTTTGGGGGGTGGGGTCATGGGTCCCCTTGGGCAGACTGCTGGACCCCTTCTTAGAATAATGTTTTTAAATAATAGAAGGGCGTGCAAATTGCAATGAGAGATCAGTGAAAATAAAGATATCATTTGTTTGTTTTTTTTCTTTCCAAGTTCCTTTAGGGGTCCATGGACCCTGGGTGAAAAAGATCCAGTACATAGAGAAAAAAAGAAAAGGACATATTGGTCAGAGTTGGCAAATCAGGTTAGTTTCCTACACATTATCGTGATCATCATGTAAGTTTATTTCTCCCTGTTCTGCTGATTTCATTGGCATCTGTTAGTGCCACGGTTTCAGATGCTACCAGGGCAAGGGCCTCTGGGATAGTATCCGAGCTGTTATGAGTTAGTGTTTTATGTGCTAAATATTAATACATATGTATATGTTAATATAAATATGAAAAACAAACAGATATATGAAGGGGCACTTGGTGGTCTTCTGAATTTTACCCATTTCTTTTGTGGGAGAGAAAATAAATAACTGTCCCAAACCTGATATCTACTTTGTACATTAAGTACCTCTTCAAAAAAGGATGCTGTTAGTCCTTTTTAGAGAAGTCTCTAGATATGACCAGTCTAAAAGATTTTTTTTCTAGTCCTTTAGGGTAGGGAAACAGAAAGGCAGAGAAAAGCCTGAAGCTCCTCCTGGGTGTCAGACTGGGCCCAAGACAAATCTGGGCTCTGAGTGAGGCCAAAGCCAGAGGCCCTTTTCTGCATCTCCACTCCTCCCACTGGTCATGGATCACAGACAAAAACAGAGCCCTTCTTTCCCTCAAGGGATTTACTGGTATTTAGAACCTTTACACAGATAATCAACAAAGGGTAATTGGGGGGAGGGAGTCCCAAGTAACTGGGAAGAGCAGGAAAGGCCTCCCATAACAGATATCATTTGAGTTACAGAACTTTCACAGAAGGAGGGCATCCATCCTAAGAGGTGAAGGTGAAAAGGGATGGCATTCCAGGCAGAGAGGACAGCCCAGGCAAAGGCCCAGAGGTGGGAGCTAGATTATTGGTCGGTCAACAAGCATTTATTAATCACCTACCATGTGTGAGGCACAATGCCAAGTACTGGGGCTACAGAGAAAGGCAAAAGATAGTCCTTGCTCTCAAGGAACTCAGTTAATAAAGGAAGACAACATAACTGTGTACAACCAAATGATAGACAGGATAAATTGGAGTTAATCAATAGTATTAAGAGGAATCAAGAAAGACTTCCTTGTAGAAGTTGGGATTTTAGATGGGACTTGAAGGAAGCCAGGAAGTGGAGAGGAGGAGTGAGAGAATTCCAGGCATGAGATGAAAGTGTCTGGAGCCAGGAGATGGAGTGTCTCGTGTGGGGAACAGGAAGGAGAAAGCCAGTGAAATAGAAAGCAGAGAGAATATGTGGGGCAGAGAGAGAAAGCTGTAAGAAGCCTGGAAAAGTAGGAAGGGGCTGGTCACGAAGGGCTTGAGTGCTAAGAGATTTTATGTTTGATTGGGTAGGTGATAGGGAGCCATTATAGTTTATGGAGGGTGGGAGGGAGGTGACATGGTCAGACTTGAATTTAAGGATGATCATTGATGACTGAGTGGAAGATGGACAGGAGTGAGGAGAGACATGAGGCAGGCAGACCATCAGCAATTATTGCAGTAATCCAGGTGTAAGGTGATGAGGGCCTGCTCCAGCAGAGGAGAGAAGAGGGAAACTCAACGCATTTGGTGACAGATTGGAAATAGGGAAGTGACAGTGTGAGGAGTTCAAGGATGACCCCTAGGTTGGGACTCACAACTGGGAGGGTGAGTGGTGACTGGACCGAGGAGGGGAACTTCAACAGTAATCAGAAAGTTTGGTAAAGGGGAAGGTTTGGGGGGTGAGTAGGAGGGATGAGTTGAGTCTTGGACATGTTGAGTCTAAGACATCTGCAGGACATCCAGTTTGAGATGTTCACCAGGCAGTTGGAGATGCAAGATTGGAGGATAAGAGAGAGGTTAGGGCTGGATAAGTAGACTTGAGAATCATTTGCATAACAATGATAATTTTATCCAAGTGAAATGGTATAGAGGGAGATGAGAAGAGGACCCAAGGCAGAGCCCTGTGGAACACCCAAGGTTATCAGACTTGGATGAAGATTTAGCAAAGGTGATAGAGGAGGAGTGGTCAGAGTGGGAGGAGGAGAACCAGAGAGATTGATGTCCTGAAGACCTAGAGGGAAGAGAGCATCACAGAGAAGAGGGTGATCGACAGTGTCAAAGGCTGCAAAGACGTCAGGAAGGATGAGGATTGAGAAAAGGCCATTGGATTTGGTAGTTAAGAGACCAGTGATAACTTTGAAAGGACAGTTTCAGTTGAATGATAAAGTCAGAAGCTAGACAGTAGAGAGTGAGAGGAGGGCACCTATCATAAATGGCCTTCTCAAAGACTTTGGCCACAAAAGAGAGGAAATGTGGGGTAATAGCCCAAAGAAAGATCCATCAAGGGATGGCTTTTGGAGGAGAGGGGAGATGGGAGTGTGTTTGTAGACAGTAGGGAAGTAGCCAGGGAGATACTGAAGGTCAGGAGAGAGTGGAGATCTGCTGGAAAACACAGGATGAATTGAACTCACTTGTGTAGGTAGAGAGCTTGCCTTGGCAAGGGAAGGTCCCCCTCAATGTGTGAGACAGGGCCAAAGGAGGAAATGGTGGCCAAAGGCATCTGAGGGAGATAAGACAGAGGGGAGAAAGGGGAGCTCTCTTTGAATGGCCTCCATTTTTTCAGTGAAATGTGAGGCCAGATTGTTGGTATAACCATTTTGGAAAGCAATTTGGAGTTATGTAAACAAAGTGATGAAAATGTCAGTACCCTTTGACTCAGAGACTCTATTCCTAGGCTTATACTCCAAGGAGGCCATTAATAAGAAGAAATATTTATAGCAGCACTTGTCATGTTGGAAACAGAGTAGATGCCCATCAACTGGGGAAAGATTAAACAAACTGTGGTCCATGGATGTAATGGAATATTACCTGTGCTATAAGAAATGATGTATGTGATGAATACAGAGAAGCATGGCAGAGCTACATGAACTGATCCAGAATGAGGTCAGCAGAGCCAAGAAAATAATATACTCAGTAACTACAACAGTGTGTAAATGGAAACAATCAGGCACACACACAAAATCATAAGTGAATGTGGCCAAATTATAAAGAATAAGCATGACTCTAATGAAGAAACAAGAGAGGTCACCCGCCACCTGCCACAAGAGCTGCACATTGTACATTTTTCTGACTTTTTCAATGTATTGATCAATTGTGCTGATTTTTTTTCTCTCTCTTTTTTTTTTTTTGCCTTTAAAAATGCTACTTGTATATGGTATGGTTCACTGGGAGGAGAGGGATGCTGGCAAAAAATATGGGAATGTAAAAAAAAAACCTACCAAAATACATCGATAAAGATTTATTTAAAAAGATTTTCAGCTGAGAGGGTGAGGAAAGGGGAAGTTACCAGAGGTTTGAAGAGGGATAAAAAAGGTCTGAAAGAACCATTGTGGAGAGGGGGAGAGTGAATCAATTAGGGCTTTACAGGGCAATATTGGAGATGGGATTAGGGGACAAGAGAGTGGAGAGAAGAAGACGCAATTCACTAAGGGGTCAAGACTGGGAAGGAAAGAGAGTGAGGCCAGTGTGTGATGATGGCCCAGGAAACAAAGGAGGGGATTGGAGGTCATGGTGAGATCCGAGAACAGGGTTTGGGATTACAAGGCAGAAGGAGAGGTGGAAAGACAAGCTGTGATCAGATGAGGGCATTTCAGAATTAATCAATGAAGAAGTGGTACATTTGTGGGTGATGACAAGATCAAGTGTACGACCATCTCTGTAGTGGGAGGAATAGGTCAAGGGAAGGAATTTAAATGTCTAGAGAAGGGCCTAGTCCAGGGGTGCAGAACCTGGGGCCTCAAGGCCACATGTGGCCCTCTAGGTCCTCAGGTATAGCCCTTTGACTGACTCCAAACCTCGAGGCCACAAGTTCCCCACCCCTGGCCTGGTCTATAGCAGGAGCTTGCTGCTGTTTGCTGCTGCTTGCTGGGCAGGGTGATGGGAAGGGACAGATGTCACTGGAGAAACCTGGGCTGATGACAGCAACAAAGAAGGAGGAAGCAGTCTGGCTGATTTATATCTGTTTATTGGCATAGCATCATTGTAGGACAGAGACCACCTTCTTCCCCTCCCACCATCTGTGTAAAAATAAACTCTGCCCCCAACCCCCCACCCCCTTATTCCCTGTCCTCCCTGATTTCCGGGGGACACCCCAAGCCTGGAGCCATAAGACACTGTGGTTGTCTACATTCCCTCCTATCCCCTTCCTCAGCACAGCTTGAATCGGGGTGCAGTGGGCAAAAGCTTCTGGGTGGAGGCTCCAACTGAAAGCTGACCCCAGGGGAGGGGGGTCTAGGTGGGGTCTAAGGACCTGAGACAGGGACTGAATGGGGACCCAGCCAAGGTTTGTCTGGGTTCCTGAGTAGGGGCAGTGCGTTTTCCAAGGATGCCAGAATGCCCAGGGACTACTTTTCTAGGTTTCTTCAAACCTCTGAAATGTCATTACCTTGTAGCTACCAATGCCCAGTCTCTGCTGGATCAGACTGGACCAGAAAATCAGTACCTCAGTGCCCAGCTAATCACTCAGACCACCAGGGCAAGGGTCCCTCCAGTGGGTTAATGTGGGAGGGAGGGGGCCTAGATCCTTTTCCAGACAGATCCCATCAATCCCTGTATTCTTTGCTGAGCTCCCCACTGGGTGGGCTTTGCACCCACCCTAGGATATCTGGTTAGCATCCAGGCCGGAAAAGAGCCCACCTCAGAAAGAGGGGGCTGTCACAGTGAATGACGGAGGGATTCAGCTCAAGTCAGAGGAGCCACCTCCAACCAGTGGCACATCATGGTGGTTGAGGACAATGGGGAAGGATGAGGGACCTCCAGATATGGCATCACAGTCAGCAGACAGAAGCAAGGCCTGGGGTCTCACTCGGCTTTAGCTGCATCCTAATCTCAGGGGAGAGGACAGCCCAGCACAGCCACCCCTAGCATCTGGCTCCCTGGCAGAAAGGTCCAGGGCCCCTGGGGAGGGGAAAGGTACTTGGGTGCAGGGAAGGGCTGTTCGAGGGCACCGTCTGCTCCGGGCTCCTACCACACTTCGCAGAGTTGCCCAGGATTCATGGGAGAGCCAACAGGACAGTTGAAGTGTTGAAGGAAATCCCGAGAATTGGAGAGGGTTCCCAGCACTCGGAAGCGGGCAGGGCTATGGGGGTCGGTCACCAAGCCCTCGTGTGAGCTCTCAGGGGTGCGCACCGAGCACCACACCTGCAGGTCAGGCCAGACAAAGGTGCCCATCTGAAACTCTTTTCTTCGTCTTCCACTCGATGACCCTACAAACGGTGTCCTCCCCTCTTCTCTCTGATCCTGTTCAGCTCCCATTCAAGACCCTTCCCCACTATTCCCCCCTTCTCAGTACTTGACCTTGAAATTCTTAAAATCTCAGCCTTGGTCTCCCCTGTGTGGCATAATGCAAAAAGAGCCAGATTTAGGGTTGGAGAACCCAAGTTCCAAACCTGCTTCTTCCACTTGCTCCCACTAAGGCTTCAGGCAAATCCCTTCATCTCTCTGGGCCTCAGTTTCCACTTTTATAAAATGAAGTGTTTAGATGTCTGTTCTGATTTCAAATCTGTGATCCTGTGACCCAGCCTAATCCCATTTCCTTCCCTCAGGGTGAGGCAGGCCGCTGCCCAGGTCAGAGCTGAGGAATTGCAGTCCCAGGTGTGGGAGGTAGTCCTGGGAGTTAAGATATTTGCAGGGTGCTGAAGGTACTGGGCTTGTAGAGAGAGAGGAGGGAGAGGAACCTGAAGGTCCGTCAGTGGCAGCTGCTGAGTGATTGGGGGATGGAGAAAGGTCTGAGAGGGACAGTGGACGGGCATGTATGAGGAGGGGTGAGTGGGGGGAATAAGCATGCATAGAGTGCCCACTCTGTGTGGGGCCCTGAACTAAGCACTTTACAAATATTATCTCATTTACTCCTCACAACCCTGAGAGGTGGGTGCTGTTATTATCTCCATTTTACAGAGGTGAAGTGACTTGCCCAGGGTCACACAGCTAATAAGTGTCTGAGGCCAGATTTGAACTCAGGTCTTCCTGACTCCAAGCCCAACCCTCTCTATTACTTTGCCGCCTAGCTGCCTCAGTGGGGCTAAAGGAGTAGGCTAGCTCCTACTCCTGGACCCACGGTCGGGGAGCATTGGAGGAGCAGCCAGCCCTGGAGAGGAGGCCAAGAGATAAAGTCCCTTCAGGAAGAAGCCATGGTCTATTGAGCACTAGAAGATGGGGAGTGAGATGAAAGAAAGAGAGCATGGATCCCAGATTTAGAGCCAAGAAGAACCTTAACGAGGTCATCTGGTTTATTCCCTTCATCTTACATGTGAGGAAACGGGCAGCTAGGTGCCGCAGTGAATAGAGCACCAGCCCTGGGGTCAGAGGACCTGAGTTCAAATCTGGCCTCACACACTTAGCTGTGTGACCCTGGGGAGGTCACTTAACTCCTATTGCCTCCAAAACAAACAAAACAAGTGAGGAAACTGAGGCCCAGAGTAAGAAAGTAAGTTGCTGAGGTCAGAGAGCTCAGTGGAAATGGAAACAGAGGAGAATGGGGACTTGGAGCACCTAGGTCAGAGGCTCCTGCTGCTTGGGAGACAAAGGAGCCAGGGCAAGGCAAGATACTGAGGAAGAAATTCTAGCTTTGGAGTCAGAAGACCTGGGTTCAAATCCTGCTTCTGTTACTTACGGCAAGGCACTTAACTCCGCTGCACTTCAGTTTCCTTATTTATAAAATGAGGTCAGACTAGATGACCTAAGCAACTGGGCTGATCAAAGTCAAGATCTCTGATCCCCCATCAGATCCCCATCCTCCAACGTCAGGCATCAAATGAGGGGGAGGGGAGTCTGCTCTACCCACCGAGGCCACCTGGGTCCGGGACTGTGGAGGCATGCACAATACCCGGGGAAGGGGATGGAAGGTCATTGTCCTGGTCTCTTCTTTCCTCTGAGACCCAGCTAGAAATCCATCAATGAGCATTTATGAAGCACTACTTTGGGTGAGGCATCCAGCATCATTATATAGTGCTTAGAGAGCCCCTGGAAGCCAAGAAGACGCGTTCCCTTCCCTAGATATCGCAGTGCTCTGGGCTGGGAGGGGCAGACCTGTTTGGAGTTTCACAAACAAGAAATTCCCAATGCCTGGCCATCACAGGTTCGGCCCCTGGCCCTTCTAGGTGTTAACAATCCGCTTCTTTCCAACCCTGATCCAGAGTAAGGGTAAGGTCTGTGGTTCTCCTCCCAGTAAAAACTAGTGGTCATTATAACCTAATCATATCTGTGTATTCTGGAGAACTAATGAATGATTGGCCCCACCCATGCCTTCACACACCCACCCCCGCCAACCCTGTCCATTAGGTTTAACTACAAAGGGACCTGGGAGGTGGCCCCACCCAAGCCTTCTCCCCAGCCCCTGCCCATTAGGTTTAACCACTTGACTCCTGCCCCCTAAATTTCAAAGATATGAGAATTCAGATCTTGACTTTTGCCTGAAATGCCATCCCAGGCTCAGCTTGGCTAGGTTAGAGCTCAGCTCCCCATTAGTGAGGGTTAGTCTGAGCACAGTGGGAGTAGTACTTGAAGAGTCAGCTGCCCTGTAGAGAGCTCTTTTCCAATCTCTTTATTTCTCTCAAAAACTCTGAGAGACAGGGAGAGAATTATCCCCGTTTGACAGATAAGGAAGCTAAAGAAAGGAGCTAGTCTAGCAGAGAAAATGTTTTTAGAAAGGTAGCATATTTGTGAGGAATAAACTTCTTCACAAGCTACCCTGTGAGTTAGCCTGGAAGAAATGTAAGCCCCTGGTAGTCGGGGACTTTTTGTCTTTGTATTTCCAGTCTCCAACACGGTACCTGTCTGGTAGGTACTTGTAAATGCTCATGGATTCATAGCTGCCATTGTCTCCGTTTCATAGATGAGGAAAATAATAGGAGAAATTACTTATTCAAGGTTGACACAGCTAACTAGTAAGTATCTAAGTGGGACTTAAACCCAGGACAGGGGATCATAAAGATAGATTTAGAGTGTAAAGAGACTTTCAGAAGTCATCCAGTTCAATCCTCTTATTTTTCAGATGAAGAAACTGAGGCCCAGAGATCATATCATTGCTCAGGGCCACAGTGCCTCGGTACCTTCACTATATCCACAATTCCCATGCTGTGTGTGTGTGGCAGCCCCGTGATGGTCACCACAGAATAGTCAAGCTTTCAATCTAACTACTTAATAAAGGAATCATTAGATATTTCTTTTGGCCTCAGGCATGAAAAGAATGACCGATTTACTAAGGACACCTTGAGCCAGGAGGGTTCGGGGACCTCTGCACAGGCCCTTGTTGACTCAGGTCTGGTTAAAGGAGGGGGAGGAATGGAAAGGGGGTTGGGGAGTGGAATGACCTGGATTCAAATCCTGACCTCGAGACAGTTATTTTTCTTCTCTGGGCCTGTTTCCTTATCTAGCAAATGACCAGGTTGGATATACTCATCTCTTCCCTAGACCTTGCTTGCTGCACTCCTGGGGCTGGTAGGAGAAGCCAAGAGAGCTGGTAGGAGAATAAAGGGGCTGGGGGCTGGGTTTGCTTTCCATTTCCAGGCCAAAGTTTGCATGATCTGGTGGAGCTCTGGCTCCCAACCCTCCCTGTCTCCTTTCCACCACACTCCCAGCACAGCAGGAGAGGACCTGGGGTGAAATGCAGCCGTACCTGGGCAAATCCCACAAAGAAGAGCTGGTGGTTGGTGAAACCCACTGCCGGGAGGTGCTGCTCCTCCCCGTGCTTCCTCAGCCACGTCTTGTACGCCTAGGACCAAGCACAGCACAACCCCTCCTGGCATGATGTTTACATCTCCGTCACCTGGGGGGGGATGTGCCTGGCTCCACAGGGGAGACCGCTCACTCACATTATAGGCAGCCTTGAGACCCCCGTTGTCAGCGATGTTCTCGCCTAGCGTCTGCCGTCCATTGAGCCGCTCGCCATTGACTTGGTACCGGCCATACTGCTCCTCCATACAAGCTGTGTGGTTCTGAAATGCGGCCAGGGATTCATTCTGCCACCAGGGTCGGAGGTTCCCCTCTTTGTCATACTCCCGTCCTGACCCAGGAGAAATAGATACATGTTCATTGTTGGTAGAATTGCAAATTTGCAGAGTCTTATGGAGAATGAGCTGGCTATACACAGTAAGAATCACAAAAATCATCATACCCCTTGACCAATAATTCCACTACTGGGAAATTAACATAAGAGGATTTTTTAAATAAAAAAAGAAGAGTTATCTGTTCAGATTTTCATAGAAACATCTTAGTAATTAAAAAAAAACAAACCCTAGAAGCAACTTTTAAATGCTCAACAATAGGAGAAAATTGTAACATATTAACTGAAAGTCACTAAGTCAGTTGCTATTTATCAGTTACTTACTATGTGCCAAGTACTATGCTGAACTAGTGGGTTGTATCGTGTTTAGCATTCTAAAGTTTCTAAGATTTTAAAATTGGATTTGAAACTCCTCCTACCAGTACAACTCAGCACTAGCTTTGCAGTTTAATAGTCTGAGAGGTGCTTGGGGCACATGAAGCGTTATACCTACTATGTGTTAGAGGGGGGATCAGAACCTATGTCTTTGCCCTACTCATTGTCATACCTACTGTGTGTTAGAGAGGGGATCAGAACCTATATCTTTGTCATACCTGCTGTGTGTTAGAGGGGAGATTAGAACCTATGCCTTTCTGACTCCCAATCCAACTCTCTGTCCATTATGGCAAGACATTTAATTCAAAAGAGAAGGAAAGGAACCTGACCCACAGGGTTGCTCTACTGTCAGATCCAGATCTCAACTGCCCTGGGAAATGAGAGATGCAAAGCAGGAGTGTCCACACTAGCCTTTGCCTCATGCCCATGAAAGCGGAGGGATGCTAGGCCAGCCAGTGACATGCTTGGGTCCCTACCTTGGTCATCAAAGGCATGCGTCAGCTCGTGACCCATCACCACACCGATGCCTCCAAAGTTCAAGGCCCTGAATAAGATCGATATGTGATCCGTGAGGACCCTTGGGTCCTGGGACTTCAGGGTGCCTTGCCCCAAGTCCTCCCCCCTGGGCCCAGAGGCCCGGCTTCTGAGCTCCTCTCCTCTGTGCCCCCCTCCCGTGTCTCCCTCTCATCCATCCTCTCCCATGTCATCATCCAGTGCACCCAGCACCACCCCCAGTCTCACTTAGGGTGGCTCCGGGCATAGAAGGGAGCCTGCAGGATGCCAGCTGGGAAGACAATCTCATTCTTGGTTGGAAGATAGTAGGCATTCACTGTCTGGGGAGTCATGCTCCATCTGGACGGGGAGGTATAGGAGGATATGTGTCATTTGGGCAGAACCGTAATGATCTGGGCCCACCAGGTCATTCCCACCCCCGGATTTGTAGGTTGATCCCCTCTGCCCTCAAACAGTCCCACTCCTAGCCCCACACCCAAGCCCTTCTCCATCTTCCCAGAGCCCAAAGGTTCACTCTCACTGGTCCCGATTGGGAGGCTTGCGAAGCTGGTCAGCCATCACCTTGGCAGAAAAGTTGTACAAATTCAACATATTCTGGAAGAAGGAATCTTCTGAAACTTCATACTAGGAGATAAGGAAGAAAAAGAGCCCTGGACTTGACCCACAATCTTCCACTTCCTTGCCCGTGCCATGCTGAGATGCCCTCCTCCTCCCCTACGCCTCTCAGAGTGCCCAGCTCCCTCCAAGGCTCCTACAGGAGGCCCTTCCTGAGCCTCACAAGGGCTGTTACTTTGTACTTTCTCATCTGTGCCCCCTTGGTTGACCATAAGCTTCTAGACGGCAGGCTTTTGAATCTCTCCAGCACTTCCACTTTTTATGCTTTGCCTTCCCTATTAGAATGTAAACTTCCGGATACTAGGGATTATCTTATTTTCTTGTCTTTGCATCTCCAGGGCCTAGCCTAGTACCTGGCATACAGCAGGTGCCTAATAAATACTCTATCTATGGTCTCCACGTCCTGGCCATGACAGATGTGGTGGGTCCCTTCCCCGGCTAATATGAAGCTTTTCCTCAGGGAATGGAGTGTGTGGAGGACCCCGACTCAGCCTCAGGGCAAGATGACTATTGGGCAGGGGGAGGCAAGGGGTACTCACACCATCATAAACATCATCCAGTTCTTTGGGGTCGAGGATGAAGTCAGGGAAGCCGATCATGTCGTAGATGGCATCAGCCTGGAGAGAAGAGAATTCTAAGGGCTCTGAATTCCTGAGACCATTCACTTAGTCATCCATGCACTCAACAAACATTTATTCATTAAGCACCCTACTATGTGTCAGGCCCTGTCATTTGTGCTGAGGACAAACAGACAAGATTGAAACTGTCCTGGCCTCACAGAGAATCTGTTCCACTGAGGAGGGATCCAATATGTTGAGAGAAATTTATTTAATAATGTCTCTCAAACTTTTTAAAATTACAATGTACACAAACACATAAAAATAAATACAAAGGTATAACTGGAGGCATCAACAAAGATCTTGAGTAAGAATTAGCATTGCCGTCCTGTCCTCTTGGGGTTCTAGCCTTGAGATCAGCCTGGAAGGGAGCCGAACATTCCAGGAGGGACGCTGAGGAGAGACAGTGTGCAAAAGGAACAGGAGGCAGGAGTAGAAGGTTTGCAAGTCAGTCAGGATGGAACAGAGAATTTTTGAAAAGCAACGTGTCCCAGCAGACAGAATAGATCAGCTGGAGAAAGACCCCGAAAGGGCTTTCGATGCCAGATGGAGGATTGTGTATTTTGGCCAAGGGGCCATTGGGAGCCACAGAAGCAACTTGAGGAGAGCGGCACAACCAGACAGAAGCGCAAATAGCAATGTGGTAGCTGTTGGGGAGTGGATGGGAGAGGGCAGTGATGGGAGATAGGGAGGCTGCTTAGGAGGCTACTGGAATCATCCCCAGGAATGAGGACTTAAAATAGGGGGGTAGAGAGGAGATGAATGAGGGATGTTTGTTTAGAAGGTAGAACTGATGAGAGTTGGAAGCTGACTGGATGTGGGCAGTGAGGGAGAAGGTAGGCTTTAAAATGACTGAATTTGGAACCTAGGCTCCTGGGAGTATGGGAGTGACCTCTACAGAAAGAGGGAAGTTTGGAGGAGGAGCTGATTTTGAGGAAAATAATGAGTAGTCTTTTGGACAGTTTGAGCTGCCTCAGCGATGTCCAATTAGACTGCGCTGAGCCCTGCTCCCTCCCCTCTCCAGAGGCTCCTCCACCTCGGGCTTCCTCCCCATCCCCAGCTGCCCCTTACTTTCTCCTTGGCCGCCTGCCTTGTCTTTTCATCCATCCAAACCAGGTGGCCCAGGGCCTCTTCAAAGGCTGACCTTATCTCACTGATCATCCCCTCTGCCTAGGGAGGGGAGGGAGAAAAGGAAACAAGCCTGAATCCAGGTCTCTGTGTTTCTATCCTTTCCCACCTTTACCCCAGCTAGGCTGACCGGAGCCCACTCCATTCCTGAGGAAGTGGATGGGCCAAAGGGCTGGACACTCACAATCTCTTTGCTCTCTCTGTCAAACATTGCTTTCACAAAAAGGGATCCCAAGGCAAAGCCGAGGGCATCATCAGTGTTGGAGATGCAGGTCTGCCACCGAGGTGTACAAGACTACAGGAAAAAAAAAACAACAGTCCTTCCCCAGCCTCATTCCTTCAGGCTGAAGACTTCCACCTCTATCTCTGGGGCAGAGTGCCTGCCTTCTATGGGCGACTTAGATAACTTCCGCTTCTCTGAATCTGGCACCCAGTGAGAAGACGTACTCCTAGACCCCTCCCCCAAGGCCATAGGATGGCAGAGCTGTTAAAAAAAACACAACCCAGAGACCATCTAGTCTGCCCCTTCACTTTACGGATGAGGAAATGGAGGCCCAGAGAAAGAAATTTACCTGGAAGTTTGAGTAAGTCAATGACAAATCCAGAAGTCCCAAAATGAGTCTGGGATTGTGTCACTAGATGGTGCCACGGAGAGCAATGGCATGAGGCCCACCACCCTGATCAGGCTTCAGGAAGTATCCTTAGCCTTATCCACAGACCTCTCCTGCTCAGACTTCCTGGGAGCCCACTGGCTCCCCAAATGTCTTTGCTTGGCCCCATATCAGGGAAGGAAGAGCCATGACCCTAGAGGTCAGGAGCAAGTAGGAGACCCAAACTATCACCTTCTTAGTGCCATAGAGAGTTTCCATCAGCTTCTCCTGAGCTGACTCAAAGCGCCGGTCCAGGCTGGAGGAGGTCTTCTGAACAAGGTTCCAAACCAAGTAATTGTTCAGAATGCTGGCAGACAAGAAAGGGGAGGGAGAGAAAAGGAGAGACAACAAGGGGCTGGACTGGGAGGCAGGAAGACCTGAGTTCAGATCCCCCATCAAAACCTACTAGATCGGTGACCCTGGGCAAGTCACTTAACCCTTGTCTGCCTCAGTTTCCTTGTCTGTGAAAAGGATTCCTCTGGTATCTCCAGAAAGGGTTGGGAGGGTCAAGTTAGATAGCCTATGTAAATCCCTCTATACAGGTCAGCTCTTAGGGTTAGCACATGACTCCAGCCTGCAGAGAGGAATGTGACTGCACCCGTGCACAATGATGCTGCAAAGTTCATCCATGAACAGATATAGGAGGACGAGTCCTCAAGGCTGGGGGTGGCTACCAGCACAGGAGAGTAACAGTCAGCACAAACGCCAGCTCTGTCTGACCTTGATTCTAGGCTGCCGGCATTGGGAGGAGGAAGGGGGAGGGAGCACTGTGTGCTGGGACAGCTCAGGCTGTGTTTACCTACATCATCTAGGGTTTCTCTGAATTCCAAATCGAGTAGCTTCTGCACTAAGCTCAGGGACTGCCCCCCCCAATACCCTGCAGAGAGAGAGAGACACAGAGACACACACACACACACACACACACACACACACACACACACACACACGCTGAATCCCTGCTCCTGGCAGTCTGCCCTCTGAGGGCCACCCCGTTCCCCCACCTTCTCTCTGTGCGATTGATGAGCTCGGACACCTGCTGCAAATAGTCGGTCCCATATACCACCACAGGCTCTCCATCTCCTAGCTCCAGGGGCGACAGGGCGAAAGACAGGAAATCCAGCCACTCCACTGAGGGCGCCAAGGCCTAGGAGCAAGGAGCCGTGGGAGAATGAGGTCAAGGAGCTTTTCCATCTGCCCTAAGCTCTGGCCAAGTCCTTCACCCAGGCCCTTCAGTTTCTGATGCAGGCCCTGAGAGCCAGTCTTGTTGCCATGACAACAGCATCTGGTTGCTTAGGAATTGCAGAAGGGGGGCAGGGGAGGGACGGGAACAGCTCGGACATCCTCCCCCTCCCCCATCGCTGCCTCAGGGCACAGCCACAGCTGCTCCTCCTCCCCCAGTGTCCCCTCTGAGCACTGACTAGGCCCAGACAGCAGCCAGGGCAGAAGGGACTGGTTTGATTTCCTTGGTGATGGTTGGGAAGGTAAGCAGCTGATGGGAGGAGAGACTGAGAAAATGAGGACAATGACCGAGGCCCTTAAATCTCGTGCCCCAGTTTCAGGGCAATGCCCGTTTTACTGGGCTCACCCAGAGCCCAGAGATTCTGTTGGTGTCTCTGGGAGAGCCCCACAGTGTGGTGTAGAAGCCTTGTCACGTCAGGGGGGGAGGATATAACTGGGGAGCCCCTCTGAGCCCTCTCCCAGGCCCTGCCTGCCTGCCCTTCCTCCTGGCTTGCCTACCTGCAGCTCAGCGATGCTCATCTTGTTATAGATCTTCTCCTCGTCCCGCCGCTGATCCTGGGGTACCGTGATGTTGGCCAGCTCGATTTCGAGCTCTATCACCTGCTGCATCTGCTCCCTTGTGGAGTCGGGGTGCCCACCCAGCAGAGTGCCTAGTTCCACCATGTAGTCCAGGTATGCATCGAGCACCTGCCATGGCCCCCCAAGCATGTGAGAGGAGGCCCTGGGGACACCCTCCTGGCCTCTTTCCTGCTGTGCGCGCCCCTAGATGCTGAAGCTGTTCCCAGTCCCCAGGTGGATAACAGCTTGTCTCAGCGGGAAGTGCTTTTTATTTGGAGTCAAAGGACCTAGGTTTGAACCTTAGCTCTTTGACTTTCTAGCCGTGTGACCTTAGGCAAGTCCCCTGACTTCTCTGGGGGAAAGAGCACAGGTTCCTGGGTCAGGTCCCTGCTCTACCTGTGTAACCTTGAGCAAAGTCAAAACTTCCCTGGGCCTTAGTGTCCTCAGCCACAAAATGAAGTGGGTAACAGAGGCGGCCCACAATTTCCTTACAGCTCTAGAGTTAGGCTCTGATGATCTCTAGATGTCTCTCCGCTCTTCTCACCTCTCAGTCCTCTTCTAATCGCCCAGGCTTCCTGAGCCAGCCCAAATCCACAGGGTCAGATAATTATTGCAACCTTGCCTTCTCTAGCACTTTCAAGTCCCCGGCTCACTTGATCTTTTAAAAATTTTTGTCCTTTAGAGGCGATCGAGGTTAAGTGACTTGTCCAGAGTCACACAGCTACTAAGTGTCTGAGTCCAGATTTGAACTCAGGTCCTCCTGACTGCAGGCCTAGTGCTCTACCCACTGCGCCACCCAGCTGCTCCAGGCTCACTTGATCTTTTGCCACATCTGCCTTGCCAGTCTCTGATCCTGGGGCAACTCAGCCTGGAGTCAACCTTACCATCTATCCATTTGATCCCTTCCTACGATTTTGAAGCCTTTATGAAGGCTCTCTGTTCCCCAGATCTGGAATGTTCTCTTTACTCATCCAGCTCCCTTTAAAAGCTAGCTCAGACACATGAGACCTACAGGAGACCATTTCTGAGTCTCTCAGTAGCTAATACCTCCATGGGAGTTACCTTATAGTCCCCTTTATGTGGGTGTGTGTGTGTGTGTGGTCTCTTTTCCTACCATAGAATGTAAGCTCATTTTGGGTAGGGACTTGTTTTTTCCTCTAGGTATCCCCAACGTAGGACCCAGTGCCTGGAACAAAGTGGGAACTTGAGAAATGCTCACTGATTGATTGATGGTTGGGTAAAGGGGAGCATTGAATTCAGGTGGGGGTACAATTTGGAGAAATGATCAGATTGTAAAAAATATAATAACATCAATAAAAAAATTTTAAGGGCACACTGATAACTACCTTATAAAGTACCTTTACAAGTCTTTAAGGGTCTGCAAAAGGATATAGACAGACAGGTAGATATATGGATGGATGGATGGATAGATAAGATAGACAGACAAACAGATACATATATACATACATAGATATGTTATGCTCACATCACAGACAACTATGTGTCCTCTAAGTATTAAATGACCCTGGCTTTTTGCTTTAGCTCCTGACACCAGTTGAAAGTTCTCCCCTATTTTTCCCAAGAATGACTGCATGAGTAAAGTGTCCACCTGGGCTCTGATGTCCTCTTAGAGACTAGCATCACAAAGATGCTCACATATGCCTCGTTAGCCAAAATTGAGTAAATAAAAACACATTCCATGCTTAGCAATCAAAGATCCCAAAGAGTCAATACGGGAGCAGTCAGCAGAGAACACCCTGCTCCCCAGCAATCACCATCCTGACACCCCTGAAAGGGAGGGAGTCTCTCAAACACATGCCAGAGATGGGACTTTTCCTAGACAGAAAAGGGAAAGATAGGAAGCCATCCTTTGACCTGCCACCACCCCCCATCTTGATTCCAACACCAACGAGGAGCTGTCAATATCCCATTCTCATCTCTAGCCCTGCTGAGGTCTCAGTGAGCTCTACAGAATATCCTTCAACAAATTTTGGGTTGGACATCTAGATCCTGTGGGTCTTCCTTTTCCTTCTCCCCTGAGAGACCATGTAATTATTCATTTGGAGAGGCCTTGGTGACCAAATGTAGAAGTTCACACAGCTGAAATTGCAAAGCCCTCATTTTCTAACAGTGCGACCATGGGTAGATCATGTCACCCGTCTGGGCCTCAGTTTCCTCATTTGTAAGACCATCGGGCCAGCTCAACGATTACAGCTGGAAGGAGCCTTGAGGCCTCCTCATTTTACAGATGAAGGAACTGAGGCCCACAAAGGCTAAATGGCTCCCAGGTCTTCCCAACCACAGGTCTGCCTAGATGACCTCCAGGATGAGCCCCAATGCCTCTTCAAGACCTACATCTTGTGATTTTCAGCAAACCTCTCATTCGCTGCACTCTGACTTTCCATGTCAACCACCTTCCTCAAGTTCTCCCGCCTATCTCTGCCCCCTCTTTGTTCATACAAGTCACTTAATTGAGAAGGTTGAGGCCATTCGTTAAGAGCTCTCTTCTTTCCTTTCTGAAAACATGTCTGTTGGCTCTCATCCCTTCACTGTACCCTTCCCCACGAACTCCTCTCCTGCCTCAAATCCTGCCACAAACACTTCTCTCCCTTCTTTGCCAAGACTGACTTGTCCATCCCATCCCCTCCTGAACCTTGCTGCACTGACCATCCACTGCCATGGAGCTACTCCTCTACTCCATAAAATTCAATGCCTCCCTATTGCCTTTGGGACCAAATATAAACTTCTATTTAGCATCTAAAGTCCTTCCCAACTTGGCCCCATTCCACCTTTCCAACCTCATCATACATCCCTCCTACCTGCACTCTATGGTCCAGTCAAACCAGCCTACCTTACACAGGGCATTCCACTTTCCATCACAGGACCTTTTTACTGGCTGTCCTCCATGCCTAGGACATGCCCCCATCTCACTTTTGCATCTTAGACTCCCTTGTTTCCTTCAAAACTCAGCTCAAGAACAAGCCTTCCTAGTGACTTGCCTAGGGTCACACAGCTATTAGTTGTCAGAAGCTGGATTTGAACTTGGGAAGATGAGTCTTTCTGGACTCCAGGTCACTGAGCCACCTAGCTGACCTACTTTGTATATGTTTTGCATATATTCACATACAGACCTGCTATCTCCCTCATAGAATGTAAGCTTCTTTAGGAAAGGAATGCTTTCTTTTGTTTTGGTTGGGCCTAGTATTTTGTTGTTGTTCAGTTGTGATCAACTCTTCAAGACCCTATTTGGAATTTTTTAGGCAAAGATCCTGGAATCATTTGCCATTTTCTTCTCCAGCTCATTTTACAGATAAGGAAATAGGCAAACAGGGTTAAGTGACTTGCCCAGGGTAGTACAGCTAGGAAGTGTCTGAAGCTGGATTTGAACTCTGGAAGAGGAGTGTTCCAGTGACTTCAGACTGGCACCACCTAACTGCCCCGGGGCCTAGTATTAGGGCTTAACAAATGCATATGAAGAATGATTGATTGATTGGATATTCATTATTCAATCCAACAAACATTTATTTAGCACTTTCTTGTGCTAAGGCTGTGCTAGGCTGGAGAAACAAAGGCCAAAATTCAATCAGGCCCTACCCTCCATGATGGGGAATCATATTAGGATAAACTTGTCTAGCTTGACCAGATTCTAAAGAACTTTTCCATAAACTCAGCTACCTCATCAAGCTACAAATCTGACCTCTCCCTTTCCTTTCATCACCATAAAGTGGACTGGCCTTCCCACTACTCCAATCCTCCTTAATCCCTTATTATCCCCTTATCTCTTTGCCTGTCAAAAACCCTTCTGTGTGTGGGGACCAAGTTTAGATGACCCGGAGAAGAGTTACCATGAATGGAGAAGAGAAATCAAGACACCCCAAGTTTACTGGAGAAAAACCGAAAGAAAGCAACCAGAAATAAAAGCCATTCCCTCCAACGTCTGGGCAACAAGCCAGAGATACCAGAGGCCCAAATACAAAGAAGCCAAAGTGATCTCCTAGGGGTCAGATGAAATCCAGGACTGGAATAAGGATGGTGCTACTTCATTCAACAGGATTAGGACAGGCAATTGTCGCATTGGCTATTAAAAAGATATAAGGATGTGAGGAAATTCAGAAACTTGGATGATTATCAAGGGAAGGAGATTTAGAAGAAATGTTGTTGTTAGAGACCACCTGGACAGAAGGAGAAAATGAATAAAGACTTGATCATAAACTTAGCACGTATGCTAAGCATACATAGGCATGAACATAATAGCTAACATTTATATAGTGCCTACTATATGTGAGACACTGTGCCTTTCAAATGTTGTCTCATTTGACCAACACAGCAACCCTGCAAGGTAGATGCTACTATGATCCTCATTTTACAGTTAAGGAAACAGTCAAACAAGGGTTAAGAGACCTTTTCCAAGGTCATACAACTAATATGTGTCTGAAGCTGAATTTGAATTCAGGTCTTCCCGGACTCCAGGCCCAGCACTTTATCCACTGCTCCATCTAGTGATGAGGGCTTCAGTTATTCCGATAATGGAACTTTCAGCTTAAAGCAGAACAGTTAACTTCTTGACTTCAAAGAAGAATGAAACAATAATTTTATCCTTCAAAAGTGAAGGGACCAATGTGGGGGAGAAAATTCTATTTTATATCTGATTCTCAACAACAGAAAGTAACTATTTACTGGCCACTTTGCTGGGGTGAAAAATGGGAGAACTTTGGGTGGGGAAGGGGGAGAAATGAATGCTAACCCCTTGGAAGTTTGTAATATAAAAGATGGTGAACCATCTCAGTATCTTTGCCTAGAAAATTCCAAATAGGGTCTTGAAGAGTTGATAACAACTGCAGAACAACTGAACAACAACACAATACTGGGCCCAACCAAAACAAAAAAAGCATTCCTTTCCTGAAGAAGCTCACATTCTATGAGGGAGTTGGGTATCACCTGACATGTGCCCAAGATTGGAGGAAACCAGGTTTCAAAGGGTTCAGGGGAAAGATAGGATCTCATGAACTAAAGTTCTCCAGAGTAAGTTAGCTTAGAAAGTCTAGAAACTCCCAACAATGAAATTCTAGAAACACATATGGAAATCATTCTGACAAAGAAGGGGATAAAAGGGTAGTTGTCCAAAGAGGTGGATACACAGGGAACTCTTCAAGCAATTTAGATTTTAAAAAATAAAGTTACATTGATACCTTTTATTTTTACATCACCTGCATTTTCCAAGGTGCTGTTTCCCCTTCCACTCCCAGAGAACCATCCTCCATGGGAAAGAATCAAAAGAAGGGAGAACAGTCCAGCAAAAATACCCAACATATAGAAAAAAGTCCAACATGGCACACAGTGTTCCCCCCCACACACACACACCATCCACCACCTTTTTAAAAGATCTGTACAGAAGGTAGAAGCAAGAACAGGAAAATGGGAATGAACACAAAAGCATGACTCAGTTCTGTAACTTGAGTTAGTTCTGTAGCTTGAGTCCTAATGCTCAGAATAAAGGAAGGCTGGCAAAGAAAGCTGAAGACAACGAAAGGGTATTTATTTGTTTTAAAACAATGTTTGGGGAAAGAAGAGGATGAAGGAAGAGGTAGGACCCCAGCCTGGGCTGGGGGGGATGATGGCAATTGACAACAGAAAGAATTCAGAGATGTTTTGCCTTTGTTTTCTCTGCTAAGAAGAATGGCTTTTGGATTAGATTTACATAGGATTAAGGAAATGAGAAAACAAAAATGGCTACTAGGGAATCAAGACCCAATATAATTGAGAGAGACTACCTACTGGTCATTAACGAATTCTTGCCCAGGTGAAATATATTGTGGTATTCTGAAAGGACTGTAGATATGATTACTGAGCCACCCTCAGTGACACTTGAAAAAAAAATTAGGTTGGTCATTTATTGGAGACCAAAATGTTAGGGTGAATATGGACCTACTTTGTTCCTTACCCTTTAAAAATGCCTATTATAGCACTCACTGTGCCCATCTTAGAATGTAATTTCCACGAAGATATGAATGGGTCTTTCATTTCATTAATTACTATAGCCAAGTAAAAAGGACAGTTCCATGTACCTGTTGAATATCTCAGTGATAGATAAAAGATCTGAGAGGTTCAGGGAAGCAATAATAGACTGAAGAAGTATAAATATTGTTTTCAGTTTTGAAGAAAGGAAAAAAGAATAGTCTTTAAACTCTAGATGAGTGAGTTAGACTTCGATTTCTGGCAAAATTCTAGCACATATTAAAGGGATGGTTGGTGAACATCTAGAAAGGGAAGCAGTGATCAGAAGGTACCAGCTTGGCTTCATCAAAAATAGGTTATGGCAGACTAATCTCATTTTTTTTTTTTGACAATGATGCTAAACTGCTAGAGATAAGAGTTTATTTAGGTTTTAGTAAAACATTCAATGAAGTATTTCTAGTTATTCTTGTGGAAGAGAGATAGAGAGATGATTGGATAATTAGATGGAATGGATGGATTCAGACCTGATTGAAAGAAGAGTCATTCATCATCCAATGTTAAGTGGGAAGGCACTCTAGTGGAGTGCCCCAAGGACCTGTGTTGTCCTGTGCTGCTTAACATTTTACCAGTGACTCAGATAAAGGCAAGGATGGACTGCTCATAAGATCTACAAGTGACACAAAGCTAAAGAATAGCTAAAGGGTCTATAGCTTAGGGTGGGGATAATGCTAATATCTAAAGGATCTCAGTAGGCTGGGACATTGGGCTGATTTTTACAAGATGAAATTCAACAGGGATAAATGTCAACTCTTACACTTGGGATCCAAAAATCAACATATTAAGTGTAGGATAAGGAGGCATGATGAGACAGAAGGCTTCCTGAAAAAGATCTGGATGTTTCTTTTTGTTTGTTTGTTTTTTGCTAGGCAATGGGGTTAAGTGACTTGCCCAGGATCACACAACTAGTAAGTGTCAAATGTCTGAAGCTGGATTTGAACTCAGGTCTTCCTTACTCCAGGGCCCGTGCTCTATTCTCTGCACCACTTAGCTGCCCCAAGATCTGGGCATTTCAATGAACTCCAAGCACCATATGAGTCAGTGGCCAAAAAAGTATGGTGATTACAGGCCACATTGAGAGGCATCATCTCCAAGAGTAAGGAGGTTATAGTCCTTGAGTGCTGGTTAGACCACTTCTGGGGGTGCTTTATTCAGTTCTGGGTGTCAGGGTTTAGGGAGGACATTGATAAGATAGAACGTTTGCAGAAGAAGGCAGTCAAGAGCATAAAGGGCCTTGAGTTCAAGTTATTTAAGGACTGATTGAAGGAACTTCATTTAGACTGGAGAAGAGGAGACTTGGGCTGGCAGATGGGGAGAAGGGCGATAGAGAGGGTAGACATGAAACAATAGCTGTCTTAGAGTAGTTGAAGGAATGTCTCATAGTAAATGGGTTGGATTCGGTCTCTTTGGCCCTAGAAAGAGAAATGCGTGGAAGTTTCAGAGGCAGAGTTAGGCTTGGTGTCATAAAAACCGTGCCATTAATCGGCACCATCCAGAAGTGGGATAAGCTGCTTTAGATTCTAATGCTCAATCAGGATTAGGCTTATCCGGGGTCTTTAGACAAAGGCTGCATGACCACTTCTCAGGTATGTAGTTGTGAGAATTTTTTTTCAGCTATGATACGGACAACAGCGGCTGGGTGGCCCATTGGATAGAGCACTGGGCTTGGAATCAGGAAGACTCATCTTCATGAGTTCAAATCTGGCCTCAGATGCTTGCTGGATTTGTGACCCTGGGCAAGTCACTTGACCCGGTTTGCCTCAGTTTCCTCATCTGCAAAAATAAACAAGATTGCGCATGCGGTCCCTTCTAACAGAGGGTCCTGCAAAAGAATGGAAGTTCCTTGACAGCAAAGACCATTTTTACTTGGTAACTCCAGCACCTGGCACACAGTAGATAATAAATGCTCATTGATGAACTCTCACTCACAGAATTCTATGGTTGTGTTAGCTCTGCTCCTTTTAAATTCCTACAGTACTAGACCATTTAAACTGCATTACTCAACCGCTCCTTTATATCTTTTCCTCCCTTCTCCCAACTAGACTGTAAACTCATTAAGATAGAGGATAGTGGACTTCATATTAGGAAAAGCTGGGTTCAAATCTTGCCTCAGATACTTACCAGGTATGTGACTTTGGGCAAGTCACCGCCCCTTTCAAAGCCTCTCTGTAAAATGAGGGGGTTAGGCTCACTGGCCTTCATGGTCCCTTCAAGCTCTCTATATATAATATTACACATCTTGGCACCACTCAGAGTACCTAGGCTAGTGTCCTAAACAAAGTGGGGGCTCAGCAAATGTTAGTTGATTGAATGAATGACAATAACCTAAGGTACTGCTAGGTGGGATTGCCCAGGTCACCCAAGAACAGAGGAAACAAGAGGACAGGGAAGGCTGCAGGGAGGCTCCTTACTTTCTCATTGGCTGTCCTGTTCAGGTAGTAATCCCTGGAAGGCAGAAAGAGACCAGACTGATCCACCTATAGTAGAAGGAAAAAGGGTCATCTTGGATGCCGGGGAGGTGGGGAGGAGTTTTCCTCCAACAACTCATTGATCCAGGAATCCAAGGGCATGCTTTGTACAAGGAGGGCTCCTCCCAGCCCATCTCTGGTACCTGGCCAGCCTCTCACCTGAATAACATTGCTGTTGGAGCTTTTGGCATCAGCGCCGACATAGACCGTGAAGAATGGGCTGGCCCGGTAGGTCCCAGACACCATCTTTAAAACGTCCATGAAGTTGTCCTGAGCCCAGGGTCCTGTGATGTTCCAGCCACCAATCTAAAAGAGAGAAAACCCAAGAGGGTCTCTGGCTCCTGAACTCTCTTTTTCCTCTGGCCCTGGGTAGGAGGAAGGCCCTGCCAGGAAGGTCCTTCTGACCCCCTCTTTCTCCTCCATTTCTCCCATGAGCAATCCCCATGTCCTCATTCCTGAACTGGGTCCAGTCCCACCTTGTCAATGAGGTCTCGGAGGGGCTGGGCCCCCAGCTCTTCAATTCGTTGCTCCCGGAGGCAGGAGAGATAGTAACGTTGGGTCTTGCGCTCTGCCTCGCTGGTGGAATTGAAGGTCTCATTCTCTGTGTGTGGGAGAGGGCACCAAGTCATGATTCCCAGCTTCAAATCATGCCTCAGGCACTGACTAGCCTTGTCACCCTGGGTCAGTTACTTACCCTCTCAGTTTTCTAGGGTCCCTTCTGGCTGTAGATCTGGGACCCCATGATCCCTTGTTTGCAAATATGTCAGGAGGGAGGGAGGGGGAGTAACCCTGCCAATAACCAGGTGTCTGGGTGAAGAAGCCTTGCTGCTGCTGCTCTTGGCCTCACCAGGCCATCAGCCACATGGAGCTCTGGAGGGAAGGCAAGCCCTGGCTTCTTAAGCTCCATCCATGGAAGCCCTACAGAGTACTTGGATCCTACAAGATCTCTGGATACCCACTTCTCCATGACTGCCCATTCTTTCATCCATTCAGCATTTACTAAGTCCCTGACTTGTGTAAGGCTGTTGAGGAAGCCAGTGAGGTGTAGAGAGAGGGGTTGGTGTCCAGAAGATCTGGGTTCAAATGCTGCCTGATACTAACTGGACAAGCCACTGTGGACCCTCCTCTATGTGTCTCAGATGACTTGAGCTCAAAAAGCTAAGTACCTACTATACACCAGGCATTCTGCTATTGCTGGACTCCCAAAGACAAAAGGCCTCAAACAGCTTAAGGTCAGTCTATCAGGAAGATAACATATATGGGCCACATGCTTGATCCATTAGCATGATAGATATATAGAAGGTGTGTGCGTATGTGTGTGTCTGTGTGCGCTCCTGCATGCACGTGGTACACACACACACACACACACACACAATTGGGGTTAAGTGACTTGCCCAGGGTCACACAGCTAGCAAGTGTCCGAGGTTGGATTTGAACTCAGGTCCTCCTGCCTCCAGGGTCAGTGTTCTATGGATAGAAAAGATTAAGGAAAGTAGTCCTCCAGGGGAAAATGAAGAGAGATATCTTCATCACGTCCCCCAACACACACCTAAGCTCAAGACTTCTTATTGGTGCAACCCTAGGCAAGTCACTGAATGTCTCTGGATCTCAGTTTCCCCATTTGCAAAAGAAGGGGTTGGACTAGCTTCCCTCTAAGGTCACATTTAACTCTAGCTCTATCTACAGAACAAGTGGAAAGAAGACACCCTTACAGCTGGGAGCACTGGGAAAGGCCTCAAGGTAGCCCTGGAGCCACGTTCTGCAGGCAGCAGAGGGTTCTAAGAGGAACACAGGATCAGAGACTCTAGAGCTGGAAGCTGAACCCCCTCATTTTACAGAGGAGGAAACCGAGGAAGAGGGAGGAGAAAGCAATTCACCTCAGGTCATCCAGAGCTGGGATTTGAACCCGGGACTTCTCACTCTTCCCACTACACCACATTTCACAGTATTTATCTACTAAGTGATGAATGGGTTGCAATCTGCACAGAAGGCACCACTCAGGGCTCTGGGAATACAAGGATAGAAGGGGCAAATTAGCCCTTGAACTCAAGGAGCTTAATTGTATCAGCATAGTTAAACAGGTAAATAAATACAATAAATAAAAATGAAACAGATAGATAAATGCAACAAGTATTTAGCCAGACAAATATACAGTATTATTTGAGGAGGAAGGAAGCCCAAATAGCCAGGAGATTGGGAAAGCCTTCCCATAGCAGGTGGCATCTGCATGGATCTTTAAGGATTCTGAGAAGAAGAGGTGAGAAGGAGCGGATTCCAGGCAAAGGGATGGAGATGGCACAGGAAATGCCAAGTCCAGAGAACAGTAAGTGGGCCAGTTTTCCTGGATGGTAGAACGTTGTGAAGGAAAACAATGAACAACAGAGGTGGAAAGATAGGCTAGAGAAAGCCTAGAAAAGACTTTACAGACAAAGAAAAGGACACTAGGGAACCACTGAGGGTTCTTTACCAGGTGAGTAACCTGGCAAAGACACAGGGTGTGTGGAACAACAAGAAGGCTAGTTTGGCTAAAATATAAAATAAACGGAGAAGAGTACTGTGATCGAAGTTTCAAAAAGTGTTAGGAACTCTTGCTGACCTCCAAAAGGAGAATCAATACAGACCTCTCCACCACCAGCATCCTGTCAATTTCATCCCCTTCCTAGAATCCTAGAGACAATGTGCTTTGGTGGAAAGAGCCTTGGATCTACAGTTGGGGAAAAAATAATAGCCAACATTTATATGACACTGTGTGGCAGGTGCTGTGCTAATCACTACAATTATTATCCCATTTAATCCTCACAACAACCCTGGGAGGCAGGTGCTATTATTCCCATTTTATAGATGAGGGAATTGAGGCAGACAGAGGTTAATTAACTTGCCCAGGGCCACATCCTAGTAAATGTCTGAAGCTGAATTTGAACTTAGGTCTTCCTGGCTCCAGGCCTAATGCTCTGTGCATTCTGGTGCCACCAACTGCCTCCATTCAAATCCTGGCTCCAATGTCTCTGAGCTGTATGACCTTGGACAAATTACTTTGCCTTTCTGAGCCTCAGTTTATTTTATCTGGAAAATGGACAACAATATAAGATGCAGTATGGCATAGTGGATAGAGAACCGGGCCTCAAAGTTAAGAAGACCTAGGTTCAAGTCCCACCTCTGGTATGTACTCATTGTGTGACCCTCTCAGTGCCCTTAAGTGGCTGGGTCTCTAAGACTATTTTGAATTGCAGAACAATTTGGTCCCAAATCTTTACTAGAGATGTCTTTCAGATATGAGGCCCATTGGATACATTTGGCCCACAACACTCCCAAGCACTGCCCAAACCAGAATCAAAGATAATTGGGAAATAGCTGATGAAATAAAAATACAGCAAAACATAGATAACGTTCATACGTTGTTTTCTAAATCAAAATGCACCTGCAGGGATCCAGTTTGAGACCGCTTGGCTACACTAAAGAAATCATAGTGAAATTAAAAAAAAAAATAGAGATGACAATCCTTGACCTGTACACTGCAGAGGATACTAATGAGGAAAGGGTTTTGTAATCCTTACAGCACTCTAGAGACAGAACAATTCGTTTTTATAATTATAGAATGTTAACTCATGTCAGTACCTTGGACAGTACTCAACCCACTCTCAAGTTGACAGCGAGAACAGGCCCAGAGAGGAAAGGAACTTGCCCCTTTAGTAAATTAAGAGCAGAGGCCTCTAGAGCTCCTCTCTCTTGCTTCCCAAGCCAAGGCTTTCTCCATTGCTCTGCCCAGCCACTCTGGGCAGCACACATCACAGATCTAGAATTGGAAGGGACCTTAGAAACCGTCTAGTCCAAGCCTTTTATTTTAGAGAGGAGGAAACTGAGGCTGGCTAAGATAAAGTGTCTTATCCAAAGCAGGTAGTAATTGTGAGGTGAGATTTGATAACATGCCGAAGTCTGTGCTGGCTACTGTGCCATTAGGCCTCCAGCTGTGGGTTTTCCCTGGTTGGGTGGCTCTCCCTGTGTCTCTGTCATCACTAGGGTCCCCACCTACCTTTCCCTCCTTGAGGAGACCCTGGCCTCTGGTATGACCCTCCCCCAGGAGTTCTCTAGAGTACCCAGGTGGCTTACCAAGCAAATGTTTCAACACAGCCTGATTCTGGTCCCAGAGACTGTTGAAGGTATTCCACCTGGAACGCCCATCAGGCAGTGGGTTTCGCCGCATCCAGCCACCACAGGAGAATTGGTAAAAGTCTTCACAGGGGCTCACCTCACGGTCCAGGGATTCCAGGATCTTGCCAGCCACTCGAATGCAGGCTTCTGTCAGGCAGGTATTATTTAACGAGACTGTGGCTGAGAAAAGGTAAGGGAGAAAGATCCTCCTTCAACAAAGAATCAAAGAAATCTCCTTTGATGCCCAAAGAAGAGATCAAGCAATCAATCAAGAAACATTTATTAAGTACCCACTTTGTGCTAGGATCTAGCCAAGGTCCTGGGAATACAAAGACTTAAGTGCTACACCTCCTGCCCTCAAAAAGCTCCTGTTCTTTCCATGATGTATGTATCATTCCACAATATGCACATGGAAAGGTCAACAGCAAATAGATAGTCACTTCTGGGGGAAGGCACTAATAACTGTGTGGGGTGGGATGGGGGGCGTACTCAGAATAGAATTCCTGCAGGAGGTGGCCCTTAAGCTGAGCTTGAAAGGAATCCAGGATTCTGTCAAACAAGCATTTATAAAGCACCCATATGTGCAAGATGCTGAGGAGAGAAAAAGGGACACTCAGGAGACACCCTCAGCTCTGTCCTTTCCCTGTTTCCAAGATCCTATATCCAATCAGTAGCCAAGCCTTGCTGATTCCACCTCCTTGTCATCTACACTCTCACCACAGCTAGGCAGGAAAGGCCCTCAGGCATCTCTCACCCTGACTCTCATTGGTCTCCCTGCTTCCAGTCTCTCTGCCCTGGCTCCCCCTCCCCTGCCCCAAACCATCCTGAACACAGCTGTCAAATTGATACTCCTTTTTTTTAAAAAAATCTAATTTTATTTTATTTTCAGTTCTGAATTCTCTCCCTCCCTCTACCCATCAAGAAGGCAAGAAATACAATACCCATTACACATATGAAGTCATGAAGAAAACATTTTTCTGTATTAGCAATGTTCAAAAAGAAAAAGAAAGAGAAAAATTCTTCAGTCTGCCCTCTGAGCCCATCAGTTATCCATCTATACATGGATAGCATGTTTCATCATGAGTCCTTTGGAATTGTGGCGGATCAATGTATTGATTAGAGTAGCTAGGTCTTTCATGGTTGATCATTGTTAAAATATTGCTGTTACTGTGTAGATTGTTATCTTGGCTCTGTTCACTTCACTTTGCATCAGTTTATATAGGTCTTCCCAAGTTTTTCTGAAATTATCTTCTTCATTATTTCTTACCGCACAACAGTATTCCTTCACATTAAGTACCATAGCTTGTTGAGTTTTCTTTTTGGAGATAATTAGGGTTAAGTGACTTGCCCAGGGTCACACAGCTAGTAAGTGTCTCAGTTTGGATTTGAACTCAGGTCTTTCTGACTCCAGGTCTGGTGCTCTATCCAGCTGCCCCAAATACCATACCTTGTTCAGTCATTCCCTAATTAATGGGCATCACCTCAGTTTTCAGTTCTCTGCCACCACAAAAAAAGAGCTGCTATAAATATTTTTGTACATATGGGTCTTTTTCCTTTTCCTTTGATCTCTTTGGGATATAGGCCTCATAACAGTATTGCTGAGTCAAAGGCTATTCACAATTTTATGGCTTTGGGGGCATTGTTCCAAATTGCTCCTCAGAATGGTTGGATTAGATTACAGTCCCACCACAGTGCATTAGGGAACCTATTTTTCCCCCATGCCTTCCAGCATTTGTCATTTTCCTTTTCTGTCTTCTTAGTCAATCTGATATATGTAAGGTGGTATCTCAGGGTTCTTTGCATTTCCCTAATTATTAGTGATTTAGAGCATTTTTTTCATGAGTTTGATTTCTTCCTCTGAAAACTGCCTGTTATTATCCCTTGTCTGTTTATCGATTGGGAAATGGCTCTTATTCTTATAAATTTGGCTCAGTTCCCTGTATATTTGAGAAATGAGACCTTTATCAGAAAAACTTGTTGCAAGGATTCTCCCCCTCTCTCCCCATCCCTGTTTCTCGCTTTTCTTCTAATTTTGGCTGTACTGGTTTTGTTTGTGCTAAAACTTTTTAATTTTATGTAATCAAAATTACCTCTCATGAGCCTTCCCCCCCCCCGCCACTAGTTATGAATTCTTTCCCTGTTCACAGATCTGACAGGTAATTTCTTTCATGCTTTGCTAATTGGCTTATGATATCACCCTTTGTGTCTAAATCAGGTACTCATTTTGAGCTTATCTTGGCAAAAGGTGTGAGATGTTGGTCTATGCCTACTTTCTGCCAGGCTATTTCCCAGTTTTCCCAGCAGTTTTGTCAAATAGTACTTGCCCCATTATTTGGGCTTATCAAACACTAGGTTACTTCTGTATATTGTGTGTGTACCTTATCTAGTCTATTGATCAACCACTCTATTTCTTAACCAGTACCAGATTGTTTTGATGATTGCCACTTTGTAGTATAGTTTGAGATCTGGTACTGCTACTCCCCCTTCCTTCACATTTTTTTTTAAATTGTTTCCCTTGATATGCTTGAACTTTTGCTCCTCTGGATGAATTTTGTTACTGTTTTTTCTAGCTCTATAAAGTAATTCTTTGGTAGTTTGATTAGTATGGCACTGAATAAGTAAATTAATTTGGGCAATATTGTCATTTTTATTACATTGGCTCAGCCTACCCATGAACAATTGATATTTCTCCAGTGATTTAGATCTGTATTTGTTTAAAGTTTTTTTGTAATTGTGTCCATATAGTTCCTATGTATGTCTTGGCAGGTAGATTCCCAAGTATTCTATATTGTCTGCAGTTACTTGGAATGGAATTTCTCTATCTCTTCTTGTTGGGTTCTCTTGGTAAGATATAGAAATGCTGATGATTTGTGCGGGTTTATTTTATATTCTGCAACTTTGCTGATGCTGTTAATTGTTTCAATTAGTTTTTTTAGTTGACTCTCTAGGTTTCTCTAAGAAAACCATCAAATCATCTGCAGAAAGTGATAGTTCTGTTTCCTCATTGCCTGCACGTATTCCTTCCATTTCTTTTTCTTATCTTATTGCTACAGCTAGCATTTCAAGTACAATATTGAATAACAATGGTGATAATGGATATTCTGCTTCACCTCTGATCTTATTGGGAATGCTTCTAGTTTATCCCCATTACAGATAATGCTGTACATATTACTTATCATTTTAAGGAAAGCTGCATTTATTACTATGCTTGCAAATTGATATGTCTAAAACTCAAATCTGAGAGAGAGAATTTTTTTTTTTTAGGTAATTGGGGTTAAGTGATGTGCCCAGGGTCACACAGCTAGTAAGTGTCAAGTGTTTGGTCTGAGGCCAGATTTGAACTCAGGTCCTCTTGACGTCAGGGCCGGTGTTCTATCCACTGTGCCACCCAGCTGCCGCTAAAACTCAGATCTGACTACATCACTGTAATGCTCAAGAATTTTTATTGGTTTTGTTTGGCTTCTAAAACCCCCATAATCTGTTTTTAGCCTATTTGTCCACAATGATTACACCTTAATTTCTCTCACTTACTTTAAGTACCAGACAAACTGGAGTATTTGAAGTTTTCATTTCATAACATTTCATCTCCTGCCTCCATGCCTTTGCCCAGGCAGTTTCCTATGCCTGGCATTTTCTCCCTCCTCACCTTTGGAACCCCAGGCTTGCTTCAAGGCTAAACTCAAGTGCTATCTCCTTCAAGAGGCCTTTCCTGAATCTCCCACTTATTAGTCTCACCTTTCAAAATCATTGCGAATTTATTTTGTATATATTCTCTATTCACCTCTAGAGGTAGCCCATTCCACATCGGAACATTTCTAATTATTCATTCATCCAACAAACATTTATAGAGTACCTACTGAATGACAGGTCCTGTTCTGGGCACTAGGCATTGCTACAAAGAGGAAGAATAAAACAATTGCTGCTGCCCTCAAGAACGCCCTTACCTTCTCCTCGGGAAGTTTTCCTTGGCACCAAAGCTGAAGATCATGAAGCTAGTAAGTACTGTACTGGGATTTGATGCAGGCCATTTTCTATGCTGGCCCCCAAAGGTGGGGGAGGAGCCTGGGACTCACCTACCTTGGCTGTACTGGACCCCCAGGGTAATAGAACAGCCCAGGAGCAAGATGCCCAGCAGCAGAGAGATGCCCATTAAACTCAGTTCTAGCTGTGTTCGGGAGCCCAAGAGATGTCCTGACCTTTTTCGGAAGCCCACCTAGGGGGACAAAGTGAAGAAAGAGAGGGAGGAGCTATAAACTAGAATAAGAAGAAGAAGAATAGCTAGTACTTATATAGCACCTACTATGTGTCAGGCACTATGCTAAGGACTTTATAAACAGGATATCGTTTTATCCTCACCACAACCCTGGGAGCTAGGTGCTATTGTTATCCTATTTTCCAGGGGTGGAAACTGAGGCAGACAGAGGCTGAGTGACTTGCCCAGGGTCACATTGCTAGTAAATGGCTAAGGCAGGATTTGAACTCAGGTCTCCGTGACTCCAGGCCCATTGCACAACCCAACTAAGTGACACTCTCAGAGTTGTGGTGCTCTAAGGGGAATGGAGAACATGAAATCACAGGATCATTGGACGAGAGCTAGAAGGCACTTCAGAGGTCATTTCATCTAACTCTTTCATTTTACATATGAGGAAACTGAGCCCAGGGAGGTAGATCTAAGGCTAGAAGGGATCCCAGAGGTCATTCAGTCCCCCCCCCCCATTTTACAGAGAAGGAAGCTGACGCTCAGGGAAGCTAAGTAGTGACTTGTTCAAGGTCATAAAAGTTGTGAGCATCAGACATGGGATTTGAACCCAGGCCCTCTAACTTTATAGTAATCACCCTTTCCTCTGAATAATGCTGATGGTAGCCTAGAAAGGAAAGGAAAGGAAAGTCAAGAGGCAGATACATCCAGTAATCGGAATTCTAACCCCTCTCATTTGTATAGTGCCTTGAGCTTTGCAAAGCCCTTTATATAATTGATCTCAATCTTTGAAGTGACTGCAGGAGGTGGGCTGGGGTTTTTTTTTGGTCCACACATGTGACTTCATGAGTGTAGAGTACTCCCAGTGTGGGAAACTTCCTTCACCGATGAAGCTCAGCCACTATTTTATAACTTTTAGTCTAATAGAATTGCTGGGGCCCAGAAAGGTGGCCGGGTGCTACACAGCCAAAATGTAGCAGGGGGCAGGATTAGAACTGAGGTCCCGATGCCAATGTTGTGCCACAGTGCCTCATGTGGGATGCACCAAAGGGAATATTACAAACTCTTATCTTACTATATACTGCTCTGTTTGCAAAACACTCCTTCTGTTCTGTGTGACTACAAACATGACAGCAAAAAGTCAGCACAGTATCTTGGGGACAGGGCCGGCCTCGGAGTCAGGAAGACCTGAGCTCAGCTCTAATCTAGACCAGGTGCGTGACCCTGGGCAGTTACATCATAGCAGAATGAAGCATTATAAGCCATATCCCCATTCTATAGAGAAGCAAACCAAGACCTAGAGAACTTCAGTGATTTGCCTAAGGTCATACCGCTCACATCAGAGAGGAGCTGCTGTGCTCTTCTCACCATACCCAGCTTCCCCTCTGAAAGAGGAATGTAAGCTGAATCTGTAATTCTTCCTTTTTTGTAGGTGGGGTGGAGGAAAGTCCTGATCTGGGATTTCACCCAAGTAGAAACTCCACCAATACGGATTTGTAGCTTCTCTGTATTTATCACTTAGCATAAATGACTGGCACATAGCAGGAGCTTAACCAACGTTGACTGATTAGAGTCTTAGAGCTTGCCTCAGGCACTGAGATGGCCAGTCACTTGCTCAGGGTGGCACAGCTGGTATGTATCAGAGTCCAGACTTGAACCCAGGACTTTCTAAATTCAAGGCTGGCCCTCTCCCCACTATACTTGAATATAGTCAAATGAGAAGGTGTGGAAAAGGCTTTGTAAACAGGGCTGTATGGGAACACCAACTCAATATTACCAATCAGTTGGGTTAACTCTGATCAGGGGGCTACAAATGACTCCTCCAGCCCATTTATGAATCCTCAGCCTGCTGGGTTCTCACCATGAGTCTCATGTTCAGGGACAGTAGACACCAACAAGGCAGGGAGGGGTCAGGCCAGCCTGGTAAGAAGGGTTAGGACATGTGGAATCGAAGGCACTTTGGAGGTCCTGGGGGTCAACACCCCTCATGTTACAGATGGGGAAACTGAGGCCCAAGAAGTCACAGAATAAAAGTTCTGGAGCTAGATCATCTGGTCCATCCCCCCTCATTTTACACACAAATAAACAGACCCAAGGAGTGAAAGTGTGTGCCAAAGGTCACATAGCTAGTAAATGTGTGAACTGGGATTCCAGTTCAGGTCCACTGCACCTTCTTGCTTCCCATAACTAAAAGGTGGTAAAGGGAGCAGACTGCAGGGAGGCCCCCTCTTCCCTACCCCCATCCCCCAATAGATCATGCAGACCTCCATGGTGTCTGGAGAAGCAATGCCATCTGGTGAAGGCTCGGGGGCCTCATCATCTCGAAGGGTAGCCCGCTTATACTCCAACATCTGCCGGGATGTAGGTAGAGAAACACAGGTGTCAGAGGGAGAGAGACTGTTTGCCTCCTCTAGGCCCCCCTCTCTCTCCCATCCCTTTCGTGTGGATCCCTAGAACGCCTGAGTCTGTAGCACTTTCTGGTCAACCAAAGTCATTCATTTATTATCTATGGGGAATGGGGGGGGGGGTCTGGAAAAGGATCCGCCCTCAGAGAACTTCTGGTATGGTAGTTCTCTAGACGAACAGGACAAGTGTACAGGGGAGGGGTCTACAATTCTGTCAGCCTTTTCTCCTCCCCCAGCTCTCCAACTCCTTCTCCTCAGATTCCCCGTTTCACAGTACAAGGAAAAGAGACCCCTCCATTTCTCTGCCCCTCCCTTCCATTTCAAGTGAAACAATCCCCCAGGACAGCTCTCTAGGGGACCTGGGCCAGGTCACGGACTAGGGGTGAGGCAAAGGTTCGGAGGTGGGAAAGGCAGGTCCCCTTCCTGCCCCCTCTCCCCCCCTCCCCCATTGCACAGCAATTTGTTTGTTTGTTTTTGCTAAGGCTGCAGCCAGCTCCCCTACTGGGCTCCCCTCGCATGACGCTCCCAAGACTGCCTACTGGTTGACCTGGAGCAGGGCACAGCCTACGGATGAGGTAAGGGTGTGGAAGTGGGATATACACTGTGTATTCACTGAAACTCCAGGCAGGAGGTGGTGAGGGCAGCTCCCCACCCCCAACCCATCGGTGTTTCTTTGCTTTTCCCTCCCAGGACATCGCTCCCTCAATTGTCTCTTCTGGACGCACTGGGGCTGGGGCCAGACTGGGGTGGAATAAGGGTGGAGGTGGAAAGGTAGAGAGTCGGGATCTGGAGCGCACCTCCTGCCCCCCACCCGCCCAGAGATGCTTCTCTACGTTCTGCTCTGCTCCCCTCGTCCCAAGCCTCTGGCCAACTCCCTCATCCCATACTACCCCAGAGCCAGGGGCTCAGCCTCCCGCCTCCCACCCTCCTGCCTCCGTGTTTCTGGCTCCCAGTCCCACACTCACGCCTCCGCCCAGATCCTGCAAGGCCAAGCTCATGATGGGCTGGGAATGGGCACCTCCCCGGGCTAGGCTAGGCTAGGTTTGGCGGCCCCCTTGCTGGAACTGCCCGGCCTGGGCCCCCAGCGCCTCCTCCTCCTCCACCCGCCATGGCCAAGGCCAACTCCAGGGGTGGTGGCGGCGGCGGCAGTGGCAGCAGCGGCGGCAGCAGCAGCAATAGCAGCAGCAGCAGTCGCCACAGCCCCCGCCCTCCCAGGTTCTCCCCCCTCCCTGAGCGCCGGACCTGGGGGAGGGGAGGGGACGTGGGAGGCGGAGCCCAGGCGGCTGGGGAGCACCCCAGGCGGGGGCGGGGGGATGATTTGGGGAAAAGAGGAGGGCCCTGGACGCAGACCGCTACTCCGGGGCTCGGCTAGTCCCACTCCTGTGCCCACCAATCCAGCAGAGCCCACCCCTGTCCGTGCCATCTGAACTCCACTTCTCTTCTCACCCCTTACATCCCCTAAGAAAGCCACCTCTTCGTTCTTCCCTCCCTTGAACCTCCGGACCCCTCTCCCCTTCTGGGTGCACCCACTCACCCTGAAGAATCGTCCCAGGAGCTCAAGGTCCGCTGGTCACCACCCCGCCTCCCCCACCCCCGCCCCCGCCCCCGAGTTCTATTGCCTGTTTACAGACGTCTGTCAGACTGGCAGATCCTCCCACCGCAGACCTCACAATGCCACCACCACCAAAACAAACAAACAAAACCACCGAGGTCTTCAGGCCAGTCCCAGAAGCGCCCACTCACCAAGCTGCCCCTCGTCTGCAGCACTGGGTGGCCCATTCTCGACCCACCGACCCAGCTTACACACAAGAGGCTTGCACTCGGCACGCTTGCCCAGTTCACCCATCCTTCTCTGCAGAAACAGCCCCGACAGCTTTTCGTTTCCGAGCCCCTCGAGAATGGCCACCGCCTTGGAAAAGGGTCTTGCAGGCGGTGTTAACACACAGACACATTGTCCCATCTTTTCATTTCAATCAGCTCGAACTTCTTAAGGACCTATTGTGTGCTAGGCACTACTTTTTGAAAATAGAGAACCATTGACATTTCTTTTGGGGGGAAAGCAAAGCATTTTATTTTTGCCTCCTGAAAGGTTTTTTTTTAACATTAAATTTAAACTCAGTATTCTGATATCTATATGAGCTCCATGGAAAGCTGGGACTTTCACTTTTTATTTGTATCCCCAGATCTCAGCACAGAGTATGGAATATATCATAAAGGCTTAATAAACGTTTTTCTTTCATTCATTCAATATTTTGAACACCTGAGAATACTTGAAGTAGATAAAACAATAAATAAACAGATCTTGCCCTCCTAAGAGAATCTATTGAGTCAGAAGGCACCAAGGAGGTCATCCTATGGAGGATGCCTGGCCATGAAGCCCCCTTCCCCCATCACTGGCACGTAGTTATCCAGTCCCTTCCTAACAACCTCCAGTAAGGGAGACACCATGAGCTCTTCAAGCAGTCCCTTTCATGTTGGACTCACTGTAATTATTAGGAATGTTCCCTTCCCATCAAATCTAAATCGACCCCCTCTGCAACGTCTCTGTTTGTTCCTGGTCCTAAGGGGCAAGCAAAACAAATCTAATCAGGGCAGCCTTGCACATACTTCAAGACAGTTGTCACAGCCCCTCTCTGTCCACTTCTCTTCTACAGCTAAACATTCCTGTTTCCATCACCTGATCCTTTCATTCAATGCATAATCTCCAGGGCACCTCCCCCCACATGGGATTCACACCGGTCTGTCATTCCTAAAATGCCATGCCCAGAACTAGAAACAACACTCCAGACGTGATTTGACCTAGCCCAAGAACAGGAGGACTAGGTTCTCCCTCACTCTGGATGTTATGCACCCTGAATACTGTTGCGGAAGACCTAGATCTGAGGTCAAATCCTGTTTCAGTAGGTATTAGCTATGTAACACTAGGCCAGTTATGTAATGGATAAGACAGTGGACTTGGGTTCAAATCCCTCCCTTAGACACTCACTAGAAGTGTGATTCTGAGTAAATCACTTCACCTCTGTCTCAGTTTTCTTATCTGTAAAATGAATGGGATTGGACTAGCTGAGTTCTAAGTTTCCTTTCATCTCTAAATCAATGATTTTATTACCCTAAATCACACAATCTCTTTCAAGCTCAGTCTTCCCATCTTTAAGATGGAGATAATAATCTACCTTCCAGGGCTGTTATGAGGCTCAATTGAGGTAATATCTGTAAAAAATTTTTGGTGTTGCAAACCTTACAGCCTTACATAATATTTGCCACGATTACTGCTCCTGACAGATGAACTTTGTGCCTTGGACAGTTCACCTAGTTTAGCTGTGCCCCAGACAACTAGAACTACAGAAGAATTGCAGATCCTTGTTGCTAGAAAGATCTGTCATGTTCCCCTCCATATGTTGAAGCCACAAGGTCTACACTGGAACTTCCCCACTCTAGTGAAATTTCTCTTCTGTCATTCCTTAAATAAGCTGATTTTGTTTTGTTCTAATGCATTAACTTCATCTTTTCTTTTCTTTTTTTTTTAACAAGGTACAATAATTTGGCAAGGGAAGTCCAGGAGTTTGAATAATGACCCAATTTATGTCCCCTTTCCCAGCTATTCTACTGTTCCCATCTTTTCACAAATTGTTCCTGGCACAGAACACTTAGATGACGAAGGAATGACAATGGTGGATTCAGTCTTTGTGGAAGAGAATGTTTTGTTTTTACTTCTCCTGGTCATTATTGACCATCTGGATGATTTCCAAATACTTAAATAGAATTACAGACTTAGAAATCGGCAAGGAATCCCCAGAGTTTCTCAGGTTTTCCCATAAGTCCAGATCAGCCCCCCAATACCTCATAGGCACATGATTTTCTGTGCTATTCATGAAGATCTCTGACAAAGACATGCACAAAAGGATGAAGAGCCCCTGTTCTGCAGGTAGGCAGAGCAGCAAAACGGGGAGAAATGATGGCTTTGGAATCAGAAGACCTGTGTTTGAATCCTGGTTCCACCATTTACTATCCCAGTGACCCTAGGCAAATCCCCAAACCTCTCTGGTCCTCACCTTCCTGATCTATAAAATGAGGGACCGCTGGCCTTTCTCTTCAGTCTTCTGACCAGCTTATATCAGCCATTCATCATCCACAACACTCCATCTCTTTCCCATGCTGTCCCTAGGAGGAAGGATGCTTTCTCTCCTTATCTCCACCTCTTAAAATCCCTGGTCCCCTTTGCACTTCTGCTCAATTGTTACTTCCTCCGGGAGGCTTTCCTCAACCCTCCAGCCTTCTCCTCTAAGGTTACCTTCCTATATGTGGTCTCCCCTATTAGAATGTAAGTTCCTTGAGGGCAAGAGATGCCTGCAGTTTTTCTTTGTGATTATTGCAATGTATAGTAAGCCATTAATAAATGCTTATTGATTGCCCCTACGAGAGCATCCCTAGAGCCTATAACAGTACCTAGCACTCGGAGGCACTTAATAATGTCTTTTAATTGAATGAAGCATGTGCTATTATCCCAGTTTTATAGATAAGGAAATTGAGACTCAGAGGTTCAATAACTTGTCTGGGGTTACACAGCTAGTAAGTCAGGATTCAACAATGTTTTCCTGGCTCAAAGTCCAGCCCACTAGCCGCTATGCCATGTTGACTGGTTGCTATTAGCAAACCCCTGGCAACACAAATTCTGACAGATCTCTTTTCAAAATCACCTTTTATTAATATCTTTTGCTTGTTCATTTCTTCCATTTCCCAATATTTCCCTCCCCATGTCCCCTCTCAAAGAGACATCCTTTATAACAAAGGATGAAAAAGAAAAAAGTTTGGCAAAACTAACCAGCATATCAACCAAGTCCAACATTATATGCCCAGTTCCCTCAGGTCCAGACCCTTTGAACCTCTTGACTCTTGGACCTTTCCCACCCTAACCTTCATCCCAACATTATTTCTACATCTGCCCT